TGCCTCCGCATTCCTCTCCTGGCTGGGGGTGGTTCTCTGTTGTCTGTTGCTTTTGTGTGGGTTTTTTTTTGTTTAGTTTTTATGTTGTTTTTTCTTCTTTTTCGTCAAAGTTTCAAACGGATACAAGGACATGGAGGCAGTAATTGACTTCCATACAGCTCTGTTTTAGTCTCTGTGCCTACTGGAGGCAGTGCCATCTCAGGTGGCAGTCACAGTCATTAACTACGTGTCTGATCTGGGCTGGGTTTTTCATATGCTTTTGGAAAGATAAGGAATTGCTGTATTTATGCATGGTTATGCTATTAAACAGCTGCTGGTTTTGAAACCACAGATTTTCTGTCTCTTGATTTGACAGTCTACCCTTAACATTTAGCCTTCAAAATAGTTAGGATTGGAAGTGGCAGTGGAAAACTGTTCTAAAAATTGTTGAAAATGTTAATGAAATGTGAACCAAAAATGTAATTTCTGAGATCTTACCGTCTCTTTCTTTTTCATGCAGGTGTCTGTGACTAAAGCTGACAGATCCTTGGGCTTTGCCATTCAAACATGCTTTGTTTCCCCATTTTCAAATCCAGATAGAATGTCTGACTACACCATTATAGAAAACATTTGTCCTAAAGATGAATCTGTTAAATTCTACAGCATTGAGAAGATGAACTTTCCAATATCACATGCACAGAAGGACAAAAAGAGATTTAGCTTTGTGTTTAAACCAATGTTCAACATCTCACTGCTCTTTCTTCACTGCGAGTTGACTTTGTGTACAAATAAAGACAAAGATACTCAAGGACTGCCAAAGGTCAGTAACTTCTAACATCTAAACTTCTGATTTAGGTGAAAATAAGAACTCTGAAGTGAATAAACAGTTTTATATGGAACTGATGTAAGGAGCATGATATCTCTAGGCTCAGGATTTTAATAGATAAAGAGTTATGATGCTATGCATTTTGACTACAAAATTTACAGTATCCATTTAAGTTTCACTGAGTGGTTACAGGGGATAAATAAAAATTGCTTTTTATTATGCAAGTGGTTCAGATTTATGTTTGCTATCCACAGCACATCTATAGACAAAGCACAAACAATATTAGCTTTTACTTCCAAAGACATGTAATATCAGATAATAGTGCAATCTGATTGTTACAAAAGAGAATAGCCAAATTTTGCTTTATAACTAATGGAAATGGCTGTAAATTGGTTGTTAAAGTATGCGTTCTAAGAATTTTGGAATTTGTTTTTACTTCGGGGTTTATGCACATCCCCCTTAAAACGTTTTTTTAAGATGATTTTTTTATTGTTGATCAACACATGTGTTGGTGGCTACAGTTTTGGCTACCAGGTTTTAAAAAGCATTTGTCCTAAAATAAAATGATTACTACTGTTGAAGTAACACTTTCATAAGTGTTAGAGGATCCTTAACGAAGGCAAAGCTTGCATCCTGGAGCACAGCTAAGAATTACCTTTGCCAGTACATTACACAGGGATTGTTTAGAGCTTTGCCTCTTTTTCTGATAAATGATATAGGATAAAACTGATGAAGCAGTGGTGCAGATGGCACAGCTGTCCTGGCAGGCGGGTAGCTCTCTGAGCTCACACACTGTTCTTTCCCCTCGCAGTGCATTCCTCCTGATGAAGCTTGCACCTCTCTCAACGTGGATATGATCTTGGCCATGATGCACAACAAGAAAACCTTCACCAAGCCCCTTGTTGTAATAACACATGAAGGGAAATCTGAAGGTATGAAAATTGAGCTTGAACTGTTTAATAAAGCTGATACATATTATGTTGTTTAACATAGAGCTGCTTGAAATGTGAGAGTGTTGCCAAGTTTGTGGCATTGTATAATCTTATGATGATGTTGTGTTTGTAAGATGTTATTTATTTAGACATTTCCCTGGCAGTAATCATCACAGCAGTACATTGCTGCTTTTTAACTGTCTTTATTGATCTCTGGACATGTGGTTTGCCAGGCATTGAGAAAGGCATACTATGCTACACAACAACATGGGGTTCAGAAATATGTATATAGCAGTAGCACTTCCAGCAACTTCTTGCTGCTGAGAGATCAAAAGCAGTACTTTGCTTCTTGATGTACCATTTCTTTACTGTGCTTGTAAATATATATTTAAGAATAACAAAAATGGAATTACAAAGTATTGAGGATGCTAAAGCCTCTTAAGTTTGTAGAGCAAAGGGGTGGCCACTGGAGAGAGACTCAGAAGCCAAAAGGATGGGAATCAAAAGTCCTTTAACCTCTATTGTACAATGCGTGCTTTTTAGTCTTCAAACAGTTTAAAGTGCCGTACAGCATTGCTAGGGGACATCAGCAACAACTGTTTCTGTTTAATTCTGCAAGTCAGCTCATGATCAGTTTTTTGTTGTTTTTTTTTAACAAATTTGTTAATACAGATCAAATCCACTATGAATTAAAGGGACACATTTGATTTGTCAGTGTGATACAATTAAAACTACTTTAGACTTGATTCTGCACTTTCTCTTTTTGCAAAGCTCTCAGGTTTTTTCAGTGGTTATTCTATTGGGAATGAGTAAATCCTAGAACTGAAGTTCAGCTTTCAATAAACAGACCCGTTCTCTGAGCTCTCTTCCCCTTCTGATGTGTGGAGCATTGTGTGCAGCTCCCATCTCGGGCTCTGCTCAGAATGTTGTCTTTGTCAGAGGCACAAAGTCTTAGTGTGCAAAGACGAGCTAAATTTATAAAGATTAGTTACAAGACAACAGTGTGATAAAGTATTTTGTTGCATTGCGGGTGATTTAGTCTAATTGTGGGATGTTTGGTGGAAAACTCCCCAGCATATCACAGCTTTCAGAAGTAATACAAAGTGGCACATTAACAATATAGCTTTGTTGGTATGCAGTTGTTCTGCAGTGAATCAAACCACCCCTATTTTGAAGGCCAAATGCCGCAGTTGGCCAATATGTGAACCTAAGATTTGGAGAAGAAATTATACTACGTTACTGAACAGGAGAATTTACATCTCAGAGATCATGTTCTTCATTTTCTTTCATGTGAACAGGCCGGTTTTCGTTGTTGTAAACTGTATTGTGTGTGCTACTGCTATTAGATCTGCTTTGCAAGCTAAACGTAGGTCTTGCACTTGATGTTTCAGAAGTGTTCGTTGCAAAGGTGTCGTCTGTTTTTCTTCAGCTCTAAGCTTATGACTGTCACTGACTGTAATTGAAATTATGTGTCTATCTAGATGAGAATAACTCTCCCTCCCCTCCTAATTTTATTAGTTATTTACAAACTCAGTGGCTTACATTATTGCAGTAGATACCAATAGTGGAAGCATCTAAAACTTAACTCCATGCCATGTTCTTTCCCTTTGCATTCCAAAACACTTTCCCTCGCTTCAACGAAAGGCGTATGGACGGCCTTTTAAATGTTACGAAATACATGTTCCTCTGTTGAAATAATGTACCCGTGTCATTGTTCAGACTGTTACTAAGTGTGGAAAATTTAGATTATTATTTCTACAGCAAAAGGAGGCAAGCCATAGAAAGGAGGTCATGAGCAGCTCACAAATGTCTCTATCCTACAAAGGTGTAGAAAACCATGGTAAATTCCAAAGGCTGGCTGCTGATGTTTTTTAATCTGCTGCTTTTCCTGCACCTCAAGGATTCCCACTGCTGCTGTGTTGATCTGAGCAAATGACATTAAAATACATAAAAGAACTGAATGACTTGCGGAGAATTGATAGTGGGCTACACAGCCTATCATTAATTAGACTATATTCTCTGTAGAGATGCCAGTGACAGAATCGACATGGAAAATTCGTTCTCCAGTCCGCTCAGAAGGCACTTTCTTGGTACTTGGGATAAGCTAGTGGAGTGTTTGAACAATCTAATAGTGCCCTTACCCATGTTTGTACTGTTCAGTGCTCCTTGGTTCCAGTCCAGCCCTCCTCACAGAACTTACATTCAGCTTTTGCCACTCTGTGTGCTTGATGAATTCCCAGCTTATTTGTACACACACCCCCCTCTGTGTTCTCACCTGTTTCCTGCTACTGTTTCACCTGTTTCCTACCATCCTGCCAAGAGTGATCTGGAAGAACACTCTCTGTTAGAACAAACCCCTTTTTTGGATGTTGAAGGCACGTGGGTATCAGTGCCTGATGATCTTATAGGATATTGCTGGCAGTTTGGTGTCGCATTTGGATTTTAGAAGTTAGAAGCATAGTCTTGGTTTAAGAATGCTTTATGTAAATTATTTATTTTCAGTTTTTTGAGCTGCTATGTTTACATAGCAATTAAATTTTTTTTTTCAGTTGCTAAAGATACAAAAATAGCTGTTTGGACACTGTCTTATCAAACCCTTTCACAGATGTTGCACCAAACACACTCAGATATGCCAGAATTTAAATGAGATCCCTAGGTTAATGGACAATCCAGAAGTAAACTGCAGCTAACCAAACAGGTTTGCAGGTCTGAAACCAGAATCTCTGGCTCTTCTGCTTGAGGTGGCATTCTTGGAGAAAGATAAGAGAAGCCAGTTAAGCAAAAGAAGGGAACATTCTTCATTTTTTTTACCATATGTTTACTTGTCTCTTTCTGTTACATGCTGATAATGATGACGATATTTGATATTCTTGCCAAGAATAACAGCTTTGATATAATAGCTATGATCTTTTCTTTCCTATATGTAATTAAAAACCAAAACAAAACCAGAAAAAACCCACTCAACTTCGAAGACAGACTAACATGTAGGACTCAGGAAAATGTGTGAATCAACACATACTCATGAAATGTGGACAAAGCAGTGTGTATCTTGCCATAATACTGACTTTTCTTTAGAAGTGATAGCCAGTGTTTGATTTCAATTTCAATCTTTTTTTTTTTTAATCTTGATATCTCATGTTTGTGATTATCGTAGAATCATAGAATTGGAAGGGACCTTAGAGATCATCTAATCCAACCTCCCTGTCATGGGCAGGGACACCTCTCAACTAGATCAGGCTCCATCCAACTTGGCCTTGAACACCTCCAGGGAGGGGGCAGCTACAACATCTCTGGGCAATTTATTCCAAAGCCTTGCTGCCCTCGTACTGAAGAATTTCTTTCTAAGTTCTAATCTACATCTATTCTCCTTCAACTTAAACCCATTTCCCCTTGTCCTATAGCTGGACACTCTTGTAAAAAGTCCCTCCTCAGCCTTCCTGTAGATTCCCTTCAGGTATTGGAAGGCAGCTATTAGGTCCTCCCAAAGTCTTCTTTTTGCAAAACTGAACAACCCCAGCTCCTGCAGCCTGTCC